AGATAGGTTTTTAGCTAGAGGCTGGAAAGCAGCGTGGTGTGAGTCAGCCTGGGACGAGTCAACTAGTTTCACTTTAGGTCAGGGATGAGGGCTCTGTAGGTCAGTTCCTAGATACCGCCCCCTGCTATAGAAGCTTGAGAAGTTTCTTGAAGGCAGTGGGGGTGAGGAGGGGCTGATCTGCATACTCAAGGGATTCTGACCAATTCCAAATCAGGTGGCTTGGCATGGGGTCAGGACAGTCCTTAAGTATGAGAGAGTATGACCAGAAAGTGGTCAGCTGAAGATGATGTGAGAAGGCCTGAGTGTGGAGCCTGGGAGAGGGCCCAGGAAGGGGCCTACATGCAGGCAGAAGCTAGAAGGGAGGATCTCAAACGTCCTCTGAGAGAGGGCAGCCTAGGAAGCAGGGAAGGATCCAGCCTAGCATAAGGCCTGAAGGCAGCCACCATCCCACAAGCTTGCAGGATAGGGCTGAGTGAGTAATACCACACCCCTTGGGCCAGATAAGGGGAGAGGGCAGTCAGGTGGCCAACCCAACTAGCTCCTCATCTGGAGCTGCTCGGCTAAAGTGGCAGTTTCTGCGTCCCCTTGCTCAGGGATTACCTCAGGCAGCTGGGTGAAGAAGAGAATTTATCTAGGTTCTGAGCACTGTCCTCCATCATGCCCACCACACTCCCCTCCTGCACATATTTCCACCATTATACTCAACACACTCTTCTCCTGCACATATTTTCCCCACCATACTTAACACACTCGTCTCCTGCACATTATTATTATTATACAGGATTTATATCGCGCCAACAGTTTGCTCAGTGCTTTACAATATAAAGGGAGACAATACAGCAACAATACAGTTCAATACAAGAGGGTTAGGAGGGCCTGATCCTGGGAGCTTACAATCTAAGGATGATTAATCCAGTATTTCTTTTCCCACACAGGGACAATTATAAGGGAATAGAAATTTAACTGTAGTTCGGTAGGGAGAAGTTCATCTTTAGGATGGTCACATATGGCTCACTCATCCTGCTGAATCCGCCACAATTTAAGTTGCCAGAGGCCTGCCTTACACCATCCAGTTCAACAAACTTAATTTGAAAAATCCAAGGAGCAGTGTGGGCAGGGGGAAAAAAAAAAATCAGGACATCAGCAGCCAATCAGATGAAGCCACCATCATATCCCAACACACTCTTCTCCTGCACATATTTCCCACACACCCAACACACTCCTCTCCCGCACATATTTACTTCACCGTACCCAACACACTCTTCTCCTGCACATATTTCCCCCACCTTACCCAATGCACTCTTTTGCTGCAAGTATTTCCCCCACCATGCCCGACATAGTCTTCTCCTGAACATATTTCCCCCACGTACCCAACAAACTCATTTCTTGCACATATTTCCCCAACCATACTGCAACGGAGGGTAAGTGGGACAGAACACACAAGGCAGATGGCAAACACTTAAAGATTTATTAAAACAGACATCAGTCACTCAAAGGGGAGTAGTGCAGGGAGAGAGAGTCCAAAATACTTGTAATCCAGCCCTGGTGGGCAAAGGTAAAGGCTCTACAGCAATTTGTAATCCAAGAGGCAGTTCATAAGCAGTCAGATAGCACAAGGGGAGCATACATTCACGCAAAGCTGATGTGATAGTCTCAGGCAGAGCTGACAGCGTTCCAGGCAGGGCTGATGCAGCTTCTGGGGTCCCCTTCCTCCAGTGGGCTCGGGCAGAGCCGGAGGGCCACTAGAGTCCAGCTGGACCTCTCAGTGGTTGCCCAGCAGAATGGCACAACAAGAGAGACCAGCACTGGCCTGTTAAACCCCCTGAGAAGGAAGAGAGGCAGAGGGGGGTCATTAGCAGGTGACAATGAAGAGAATGGAACTACAGCAATTTAATTTGTGGCTGTACACAGAAAGGACTGGTTGGGCAGGATAATTAGTGGGGGGAAATACATTAATACAAAAGTAAGGCACTAATTAGGGATGTATACACTAATTGAATTTGGGACCTTTTGTGGAGGGGCTAGTTAACTGCAGCTAGGGGTCTTTGGCACACAGGAGTGAATACTAATTGGAGGAAGCTCTTCCTATGGCCAGGAGGGATTAGGAACAAGGAATTAATACCTGAGATTGGCAGAGACCCATATCGTGACACATACCTAACACACTCTTCCCCTGTACATATTTCCCCCACTGTACCCAACACTCTTCTGCACATATTTCCCCCACCGTACTCAACGCCCTCTTCTACTGCACATATTACCCCCACCATACTCATTGCACTCTTCTCCTGCACATATTTCCCCCACCATACTCAACGCCCTCTTCTACTGCACATATTACCCCCACCATACTCAATGCACTCTCTCCTGCACATATTTCCCCCACCGTACCCAACACATTTTTCTCCTGCACATATTTCCACCATCATATTCCAACACACTCTTCTCCTGCACATATTTCCTACCATAGCGGTAGCCTTACAGCGCCACCTGTGCAGGGAGGCTGAATTGCACCTGCCTACAGCCAGGTGAACATAGAAGAAAGAACGCCGAAAAAAAAGGAAATTAATGCAGCCATCATAATTACTTCTCCAGAGCCTCCCTCATCCTCTGGAACTCTCTACCCCAATTTATCAGACTATCGCCTACTCTGCTCACTTTTAGGTGAACTTCAGGGAAGTCTATCCTGCCCTCGGCTAATAATGGAATGTTTTCTTCCTCCTACCAGTCCACCCCCCACAGTTATTACGTTTTGTACCACCAGCCCCTCCCTCTTAGATTGTAAGCTCCCAGGATCAGGGCCCTCCTAACCCTCTTGTATTGAACTGTATTGTTGCTGTATTGTCTCCCGTTACATTGTAAAGCGCTGAGCAAACTGTTGGCGCTATATAAATCCTGTATAATAATAATAATATATAAATCCTGTATAATAATAATAATAATAATAATCATAATTGGTAAACTGCAATGTAGGAAATGCTTGCTTTTGGGTTTAATACCGCTAATACTGTATTTTTATATTTTTCATAAACTATGTAATATTAATCGAACTTATATTTAATATATATTCATAACTTTATATTTTAATAAATATTTTATGTTATTTAACAGATAGTGAAAAAGTCTAATTTATTTATTTCAGGTACTTATATAGCGCCGTCAATTTACGCCGTGCTTTACATATATATTGTACATTCACATCAGTCCCTAACCCTCAAGGGGTACAATCTAAGGTCCCTAACTCACATTCATACATACACATACTAGGGCCAATTCAGACAGGAGCCAATTCACCTACCAGCATGTCTTTGGAGTGTGGCAGGAAACCGGAGTACCCGGAGGAAATCCATGCAGGCACAGGAGAACATGCAAACTCCAGGCAGGTGGTGCCATGGCTGGGATTTGAACAAACAACCCTAGTACTGCCAGGTGGAAGTGTTAACCATTTAGCCACTGTGCTGCCCCGTCTAATAAAACAACTCAAAGCAACAGTACACAACTAATCAAATGCACATAAAAAAAACAAAAAAACAACAACAAAACCCCCTAAATAACATCCTAAATACACCAACCCAAAACATATACTGTACATTTTTTGTAAATGAAAAATACAAAGTTAAACATTTTTTTTCCAAGTTCATTTTGCCTAAGTAGCTCAATGAGCGAATTGTGTGCAAAAACCAGTTAACGTCACCAATTTATTTTCTTATTTATCTTCTAAACACCTGAAGCTTCCAGTCAATAAAAGCCAAGAGTGGATTTAGTCCATCCTTGAAAGCTATATGGTGAGGTCTCATTGCTTAAACAGTAACTCAGGGTTAATCAATGTTAACTCATAAAATGTAATGTTCTGAGGTTTGAGACTTTACGATCCTCAATGCCAATGAAGGCTCAGTGTACTGCCTGCCGTGATTCTTATCTGTCATTCCTCCATAATGGAGCCGCGGGTCATTAACTTCAGCATGGCTAGGTGTAGAGATAGAGGAACCCTTTGCCAGAGCAACCTGTGGTGTGGCAGATGGGGTCATTATCACAACATATGTAAATCGGAGTGGGGCAGGTTGTGTTTTTACAAGTCAATGCTAATAGGCCGCACTACAGACATCTGGTGTGGAAATAGCCAACCAGACCGGTTATTGGATTGGCCCTTGTTTCATTTTGCAGATTTTTCTTTTCCTGCAAAATTTGGATTAGAAAAAAAGAAGTTCATTTCAGTCCCTCCTGCTGCTCACATTGGCTTGCATGCCTCATTTTTTGCCTCATTTTATTATTATTATTATTATTATTTTATTTTATTTTGCCTCATTTTATTATTATTATTTTAATATTATTTTATTTTATTTTGCCTCATTTTATTATTATTATTATTATTATTATTTTATTATTATTTTATTTTGCCTCATTTTATTATTATTATTTTATTTTATTTTGCCTCATTTTATTATTATTATTTTATTATTATTTTATTTTGCCTCATTTTATTATTATTATTTTATTATTATTTTGCCTCATTTTATTATTATTATTTTATTTTGCCTCATTTTATTATTATTATTTTATTTTATTTTGCCTCATTTTATTATTATTATTTTATTATTATTTTATTTTGCCTCATTTTATTATTATTATTTTATTATTATTTTATTTTGCCTCATTTTATTATTATTATTATTATTATTTTATTTTATCTCATTTTGCAAAAAAGCTGATTGGTTCTTGTTCTCTCTAAGCAGTGGTACACATATATGCATTTTGCATTTGATGCTTTCTCCAGTGCTTTTTGCAGTTTGTTTTGCGTTTTTCTATGCACGTTTTTGATGCATTTTAACGCTTTTTTCATTTTGTTAAGCTTTTTTTTTTTGTTAAATTAAATTTTTTTTTTTTTTGCTGAGCAGACTAAATGAAAAACTCAATATGCAGCAAAAACACAATACCATGCACAGGGGCGGACTGACAACTCATGGGACCCCCCAGGCAATCGGAGATCATGGGGCCCCTATGTCCTTGCCCACACTCAAAAAAAAGCCTATAAAAAAAAGGTACCAGGGGCATTTCATGGGGTCCCCTACTGACCCCGGGCCCTCAGGCAGTGCCCGAGTGCTCGAATGGTCAGTCCGCCCCTGACCATGCATTTCAGCAGCTTCTCTATTGTAGCAAAAACGCTGCTTTTTGCTTTTAAAAAAGTCCCTGACTGCAAGTTCCGGGCCATTTGGGTGATTTCTGTCATCATTATGATTTAAAAAGGAGCCAAACAACAATGTGATAATAATTGGCTTCATATGGTCATCATCCTTCAATAAAAGAGCATTTTTTAGAATGATCAGTCATATTTTCAATATCAATGCCAAAATTTCACAATTTCTGCCAGGGGATGCAAACTTTTGAGTCCAACTGTATTTGGCAATACTCTGCAGTCTCTTGTACCTCCAATTTAAATAAAAAAGACACAACATCTCCCATGCTGGAGGAATGAATTAAGCTCTCGCTGCAGCACAGAGAAGTCATGAGTAAGCAATACAGGACTGACAGAACAAAGGAGAATTGACAATAATGTCTTTTTTTAACAATGAACTCACAAGCTCCTCTTTTTATGACAAATTATATATATATATATATATATACACGTAGTATATATAATTTTTTTCCCCTTCAATGTCGATTCGAAATTATAGAGCTTTTATTTGATAGAATTATAGACTTTTTATTTTACCCAAGAGTGAGAGATAAATTTTTGCGAACCGTTTCCATAGACACATTCGATTCCCAATAAGTGTTAAGATATATTTACCAGGATTTACTTAATGTCAGGTCATATTCAGGGCAAGACGTAAAGCTTAACATCACGCAAACAGCTAAATACCCAGAAGAAATATATATATAAAATAAAAATTGGAGCAGGTAACTCCTGCTGTGTTGCAAATCTTATCTGTTGGAGATCTCATTACCGATGGGCTCCCATAATTCCATCCATAAAGAACATCCAAAAACAAATGAGAACGAGATCTCCAAGTTGCAAAAAATCTTTTTTTATTTCAGGCAGGGGCGGACTGACCATTTGGAAACTCGGGCACTGCCCGAGGGCCCGGGGTCAGTAGGAGGCCCCATGAGATGCTCCTGGTACCTTTTTCATAGGCTTTTTTGAGTTTGGGCAAGGACACAGGGGCCACATGATCCCCTATTGCCCGGGGGCCCCATGAGTTGTCAGTCTGCCCCTGACTTCAAGTGTAGCTTCCAAAAATTGGAGGGACTGCGCAGTTTCAACGTGTCAGGCTCTGCCCAACGAGATCTCTAGTGGTATACAGAACGGGAATCCCCAGGACGCGGAGTCTAAGTCCCAGTCTGCCTTTTCTTCAGAGCCTCTGATGGTGGGGACGGACTTGGTGCAAGACTGGAACCAGGTCGCGACCCCTGGGTGCACCCAACTATGGTAGAGGGGTCCCGCTGAGGGTATGTGCCCGGGATGAGCCTGCTGTGAAGGGGCTGACAGGTCCAGTTCCGAGCGGGATGGATGGATGACTGCCAGGAGTGAGCGTGGTCAGACTAGCCGGGTCGGTAACAGTGGGGACAGGTGCAGTACCAAGCAGCAGATGAAGAGTAGTCAGGTCACACGCCGGGTTCAGTAACAGAGGGTCCAAATAATAGTAACGTCAGGCAGAGGAATGGTCAGGGACGAGCCGAGGGTCAGAGCAGGAGAAGGTCAGCATAGATCAGAACAGGCAGGGTCGACAACAAGGAACGCACTTACAGGAACACAGGAACAGGAACAAGACCTTGCGGCAATGAGGACATTGCCTGGCCAGTTTAAATAGCGCGCCCTGCACCGTCATTGGTGCCAGGCCCGCACCCGCGTGCGCGCATGGGCAGCCGTAATTGCTGTTGTGGACGCCCAGGTCCCAATGCCCGCACGCTGATGTGCCTGGGCGATCCGCGCATGCGCAGACTCGCACACCGCGGCGAAGACCCTGACACAACCATAACACTGCTCTTCATTCCATTCTACAATTGCAGCTTGATGAAGAGCAGTGTCATGCTTGAAACTGCGCAGTTGTGCTAATTTTTGTAAGAAGATACACTTGAAGTAAAGAAAAAACTTTTGCAACTTGGAGATCTCGTTCTCATTTGTTTTTGTGTATATATATATATATATATACACACACACATACTCACCGGCCACTTTATTAGGTCCACCTGTTCAATTGCTTGGTAACACAAATTGCTAATCAGCCAATCACATGGCAGCAACTCAATCCATTTAGGTATCTAGACGTGGTGAAGAAGACTTGCTGAAGTTCAAACCGACCATCAGAATGGGAAAGAAAGTGAATTTAAGTGACTTTGAACGTGGCATGGTTATTGGTGCCAGACGGGTTGGTCTGAGTAGTTCAAAAACTGCTGATCAGATGGAATTTTCACACACAACCATCTCTAGGGTTTATAGAGAATGGTCCAAAAAAAGATGTCAGAGGTCAATGAGAAGACTGGTTTGAGAAAGGCAACAGTAACTTATGTCAATATGGACCAAAATCTTGGAGGAATGTTTCCAACACCTTGTTGAATCTATTCCACGAAGAATTAGGGCAGTTCTGAAGAAAAAAAAAGAGGTCCAGCCTGCTACTAGCATGGTGGACCTAACAAAGTGGCCGGTGAATGTATATATACACACATAAGGGTTTTTCAAAAAGTTTCTGCATTTTTTTTAAAACTCAATTATATATAACACTGCCACCTCCCCTCCCTCCCCCTCTCTGTTGGGGTCCCCCAAGGCTCTGTCCTCGGGCCCCTCCTCTTCTCCATCTATACATTCTCCCTTGGCAAACTTATTCACTCCCATGGCTTCAATTACCACCTCTATGCCGACGACACCCCAAATTTACCTCTCCACCCCCACGTCACCCCCTCACTCTCTGCCCGCGTCGCCCACCTCCTAAACGACATATCAGACTGGATGTCGCTCCATTTCCTCAAACTTAACCTATCCAAAACCGAGCTCCTGGTCTTCCCCCCCACCCCATGCCCCCCCCATCCTCTCCATCACTACTAACAATGCTACCATCTCTCCCACCCCACACGCCAAAGTCCTGGGTGTCACCCTGGACTCCCACCTCTCCTTCCTACCCCCACATGCAACTGCTATCTAGATCTTGCAGGCTCCACCTCTGCAACATCTCCAAGATACGTACATTCCTCACCCCAGACACCACCAAACAACTCGTACACTCCCTCATCATCTCACGCCTGGACTATTGCAACTCCCTTCTCACTGGCCTACCCAAACGAACGCTATCCCCACTCCAGTCGATCCTAAACTCAGCGGCCAGACTCATCCACCTCACCAAGCGCTCCACATCTGCCTCCCCCCTCTGCCAATCCCTCCATTGGCTCCTGATTGCCCAACGCATCAAGTTCAAGCTGCTAACCCTGACCTACAAGGCCCCGAACTACATAACCGACCTGATACCCAGATACTACCCTACCCGTGCCCTCCGCTCCGCACAGGACCTCCTGCTCTCTAGCTCCCTGGTCTCCTCCTCCCATGCCCGATTGCAGGACTTCTCCACGACTTCCCCCATCCTCTGGAACTCCCTACCCCAGTCCATCAGACTGTCACCTACCCTCCTCACTTTCAGGCACACCCTGAAAACCCTCGTCTTCAGGGAAGCCTACCCCAACCTCACCTAATAACTGACCTCACCTAACAACTAACCTCCTCCACTCCTCCCACCACTCCATCCCCCACAGCCATCTTCTCCTGTGCCACCTTCCCCCGCCCTCCTAGATTGTAAGCTCGAAAGAGCAGGGCCCTCGAACCCCTCGTGTAGTGTATTGTTACTGTCTTGTCTCATGTTATGTCCCCCTTGCTACTGTACAGCGCTGAGCATACCCTTTGGCGCTATATAAATACTGTATAATAATAATAATAATATACATAAAAGTGCAGAAATTTTTTGAAGGCCATATATATATATATATATATATATATATACACATATATACATACATACACACACACATACAGTATATTAGCGCTTACCCCCCCTAGGAGCTGCTGGTAGTTTGGGCCTATTTCCCCAACTCACAGCATGCACAGTCAGGCACACAGCATTTTCAGCACTCTTCCTTTGGCTCAAGAATCAGTCTAGGTTTTTTTTTAGCATTTTATTGCTAAGTACAGTTTCCTAGCAGCCTACTCTGAATTAGGAGGGTTCTACATCTACTATATATAGATGTAGCACCGCCTCTACCGTAGGATGCTAGGCAAATCTAGTTTTTGGCTCCTTCTGCAATCAAGTGAGCTGTGATTGTTCTAGTCCAGGGGTGGGCAACTGTGGCCCTCCAGCTGTTGGTGAACTACAAGTCCCATCATGCCTCTGCCTTTGGGAGTCATGCTTGTAACTGTCAGTTTTGCAATGCCTCATGGGACTTGTAGTTCTACAACAGCTGGGGGGCCACAGTTGCCCACCCCTGTTCTAGTCTGTTCAGGGTGCTTCTCCCTGTCTCTAGAATAAGTTACTTGAGCTTAGGTTGGGAGATACAAATCATCCTGCCTGAATATTTATCAAGCTTCAGCCAGTCCCCGGAGAGGAGTGTCCAGTATGGGGCTGGAATTTATTTATTATTATTATTATTATTATTATACAGTATTTATAAAGCGCCAATGGTTCGCTCAGCACTGTACATTACAAAGGGGGACAGAACATGTGACAGAACAATACCAATACAATGCAAAACATGAGGGGATTGAGGGCCCTGCTCTTTCGAGCTTACAATCTAGGAGATAGAGATAAATAGTCTGAGACACTGAAGAGCAGGGTTCCTTCTTCCCATGAGGGTTCCAGAGGAAGCTCCTGGACCATGCAACTGCTCTAGGAGGCCTCAGAAGTCCTGGGGTAAATTAACTTTACTCACTCACTGGAATGTGTCTGGAGGAAGCTGCAAGCAGAAAGCTGTCCTAGGGACTTGTGAGTAGTGACTCTTAGTCAGGGGTGGACTGACAACTTATGGGGCCCCCTACTCGAAAAAGCCTATGAAAAAAGGTACCAGGGGCATCTCATGGGGCACCCTACTGACCCCGGGCCCTCAGGCAGTGCCTGAGTTTCCAAATGGCCAGTCCGCCCCTGCTCTTAGTTGAACCTTGAGACTATGTGCTGGGGAAGCTGCACTGGGTACTGACTACTGTGCTTCGTGCAAGGTATCCCAAAGGAACCCCTATCTCAAAGGAACCCCTAAAATATTTTTCAGGTCATGGGGAACCCTAAATAAATCCAACTCATTGGGGGTCAAATGCAAAATGCCCCTTACATTGGTGGTC